GTTAAAATATTGCGATTTTATAAGGAAACCTAACAAATTCATTTTTTTAATAGGAATTCTAAAATAATTTGTGGGGTTTATCTCTTGTGTGAAAGAATTGTTGTTATCTATGAACTTGACGTGTCCATTGCTACAATAATATTCCTTTTGTATCGACAAACAAAAACTCTTTTGGCTATCAGTAATTAATGAAAATGTCTCCGAACGTTTGCAAAATTCATAGTATTCTCATAACTTGAATGGAAACCAGCCAGTGCAAAAATATATCATTTTATTTAATTGTAAATCAAAGTGAGAAAAACATTCTGTCATCCCAACCAAAATAGAAAATAATCTCCATTTAAAATTTCCTAGAATTCGTGATGGAAGACAATAACTATAAATATATATCGTATATGCCAAAATATATTTCATTTGATTACATTTGTTATTGTTTTCTCTGAGAATTTCAATGCAAATAAAAGATGACAAATTTTTACGAGCGCTTGAAATTACATACATATTCTATCGAAATTTTTTGAGTCCAAGCGCAAATGAAACGGAAATGTTAGCTCAATTTCAACAATGCTTTTAAATAGAAAATGATAAGAAAATACGATGTTCAAACGAATAAATAAACACACCATTCGAAAAGTTGCGTGGGCTTGGAATTTTAGCCTTCGAAACTTGATAATTATATCTAAAACTGGTGGAATTCAGCAAATATTTAAATATAGAGAATTTCATATTTGATCACAGTTTGAGTTGTTCCTCTGCCACGGCTACAAGCATTTTTAAAATTCAATTATTAAAGTTGAAGCAAGAATACTTTATAATGTTAAAGTGAGTGTTTTTATTTTCAAAGAAGTTCAAAGCTTTTTAATATATTTTGCATCCTGAATAGATTGCTGTTGTTTGGGGGTTTATTTTTTATGAGCTCCGTTTTGGCTGAATAATCAACTGAGAGTGAGATTCGTGAAATTTGCGAAAATGTCGTAAAAAGTACATACCGAAATTCTATTTTAAAAATTGATTCTTTCGATCGAGTCATTTTTGCATAAATTTCACCAATTATTTTTTATTAGAGCAATTTGAGCATCTGAAATCAACACTACCAGTTGGACCACCTGGAATACAAGGTAAGAATTTGAAATTATTGATCTTTCCTTAAAATGCAATAGCATCTTCACTAAAATATATTTTATTATGTAGGATACCCAGGACTTCCGAGACTTATTGGAGTTCCAGGTAAGAAATAATTAATAATACAAAATCCCTGAAAACTGACTGGTTAAGGCATTAGTCATGAAGATGAATTGCCTGCAATTCAAAATGCGTTCGGGTTGGTCCGATTTATGTTTAATTTTATTTTAAAAAAAAATAAAATACATTCTATAATGTGAAAAAAGCAAACTAATCAAGTAAAAATGCATTGTAAAATAGGTTTACAGGGAGAAAAAGGTAAATGATTATAAATTTTAAGATACTTCAACCGCATTGCTGTTCATGCCAATTAAAATTGTTAAATAAAAAATTCTGAAACTAAATTTTATGAGCTTGAAGCAAAACATTAAATTTTAATGAATGTCATTGATCTGTACTCTTTGTGTGCGTGTAGGTCCTAGAGGCTTTCCTGGTTATGATGATCTCCGGTAAGAGATTAAAATTTAAAACACTCTCATGGGTTTAAAATGAAATGATTTTAATCAAAATGTATTTTTTTATCAATATTCCGAACAGGACCAAAAAGAAGAGTCATGTAAAGCATGGTGAGAAGATCTAAAAATCGTAATATTGAACAAGGTCATTTAATCCAAGCCTTTTTTTGTATCTTCCTAGGGGTTTTTATCTCAATCAAAACACTGTGAATATTGCGTATATTTTGCGTATATTCACTGCGAATATTCGAAAAATATTCGCAAGATACGTACATTCAATGCATTATTTGTAAAATATGCATAGTATATGTACCATCAAATAATATATATTCGCGAACAGATAAATTCCCCTAGGTATCTTCCATTTTTATTTAAAGAGGAAATTTTGGTTTGTTTCGTTTGGACTGTAGGACAACTTCTTCTCATATTCTTTTGATGACGACATAACAACGATAATGTGATAAGAATACCAGCATATATAAAAACATATTTTCTATATTTTAATTCATAAGCCTTCTGCTTTCCGAGTTTGATTAGAAAGTAAGATATGCGATTTACAATTGAAATTAAAAAACATAGTGCGTTGTATGAGTAATTTTGATTAAAAATATGAAATTGCAGATAAAAAATTTTGTTGTTTTTTATCTTCTTATAAAAACCAAATACATTGCAGTATACTCTGTAGTCTGCACGGTTTATAAAAGTCATACCTGTACTTAATTTTGATTCAGCATAATTTTCTTTATACTCAAAAAGAGATTTTGGTCATTTCTTAGTCTTTCAGTGCAATGTGATTCTGATTGAATTTGAGTGTTAATAAAACAGCGTAATCTCATTGTTATTTGGCACTTAACTTGAATGTTTCGTTGGCGATTTCAAAAACACGCATCCTGTAAATGTCTCGATGGAATGGCATTAATAAAACTATTGGGTTATGTTACAATTTAGTTCAAAGCGATGAAAATTCAACATTATTGCATGGCAATTTTTCTAGTTGAATTGGATTTTTCGGCCCGAAAAAGCAATAAAGATAAACGTACCGTATTAAATCAATTTGAGAAAATGCCATTGAAGTCAAGCATTTTTCTAGCACATGTAATTGAACAAAATATTGGAAAAATTCATTTGTTTCGACACTTAATCATTTTCATAGAAGAGCTTCTGTTGTATTCGATTATACACGTTTGTTTGAAGGACAACACTATATGCGAATTCGATATTCGAATCTGTCATTGCTTCAGTTTGTTTGTGTGTCCAACTCAGTAGTCGCACGACCACATCGACACAAAACGCACAAATCATTGTATACATTGTCATTCGTCTCCGCTATCTTCGACTGTGCAAAGCAAATATATTTTTCGGTGAAAAATCTTCGCCTCGTTAAATCGTTATAAGTTTTACATAAAAATTTAGTTTTAACAAGTATCTCCAAGGCCAATACAACAAATCAATCAATTTGTAGAGATTTATGTGAGTTTTTCAAAGATATTCCATAAAACTGACTACAGTGAGTATATATTTTTAGTTTTTTCACAATTTCGTCCTGCTGCTTGTTACGTTGAAGTTTTTTCTTAAGCCCAACCAAGCAAAATATATCATAGAGCTTAATTTTGACATATTATGAAGTGAACATTTAAAAAACTTTTTGAATTTCTTTGCTTCTTATAGAAAATGGGTGATCCACAAGGAAGTGTTGGCATAAAACGTCAAGCTACACCCAACACACCCGAGTCAGAGCCAAAGCAACCACGAATTGATGTTGATGATGATACTACCATTGATGGATTGAATCTGACGAATCTCATCGACGACTTTCTGGAGCAAATTTTCCGGTACTTGGATCCAGTCGATTTCGTCAGCATAGCCCATACCAGCAAACAACTGAAGTCAGCCGCCGACATGGCATTCAAGCGAAAATTTGGCAAGATGGAAATCATACTCGACAAACGAGCTCGATTTTTCGATACAAAGAGCTCAACCATCAGAATCACCGACATAAAAACATCATTGCAATTACTGCGTTGTTTCGGCCACCTAATCACCAAACTGACCATAAAGCACTCTCGTGACTTTTGTCCAAAATTGATCAGCTACTCAAGTGAATACAGCTTCAATTCACTGTCTGTCATCCGGATCTATCGATCTTTCATCAAAAATGACTTGCTCATTAAGCCATTCGCCAAGGTTAAAGAGGTGGAATTTTTTGTGTGCGGACTGTCTTTGGATATGGATCTCAACAAATGGTTTCCGGCAATTCGCCGCTTGGATTTGATCGAGTGTTCGCTTGCCAATAAACTGTTCATTGTAAAAAATCTACCACATTTGGAGTACTTGGAATTTAGTGACTACCGTCACATTCCAGCCGAACAGGTTTTACGTTGCATACATCAAAACCCACAATTACGTACCTTACTTTTGGCTGGAGTCAAAGTATCCGAACAATTCTGGAGCACGTGCCAACTCCTTTCGCGACTGGAGTGCCTGAGCATTCATGATTACTTCGATGATCTATTCCCGACACCGGTTGACACAGCGGCCAAGTTGAATGCACCGAAGAAACTGGAAATTTCGTTCAGAAATGAAAATGATCTACGTGTGATGACATCACAGATATCGTTCAATCATCTGACGGACATCACATTGAATTTTGGTTGGGTGCGTTTGGTGACCACATTCCAATGGTCGAAGTTTTTCAAGAAACATCAATCGATCGAAAAGGTCACACTGGGATTGAGAGACAACGGCAATGTCAATATCGACGAAAGCATTGTAAATGAAATCGCATTGGAACTGCCGGGACTGAAAGAATTCAACAATTTTGCTTGCTATTCGTCGATTCCTCGAGTACTTCGTTTCATGGCCAAATTTAAATTGATGAGCTACGGTTTCACTCTCAAGAACGAGTTCGAATTTGACGAGCTCAAGGGACGTCTGGGCATAGAGTGGCATACATCGATCAATAGTACGCGAGTTAAAGTGAATCGCAAGATGTAATGGACGATTTTTTTCAATGTTTGTATAACAGACAGCCAAGCTTCAAGACACCATAGCAACAATTTCGGATTTTTTGCAAAATAGCGCTTCGAAGTATTAAAATTATGACGTACAACTTAAACACTTTTTTTAAAAGACATATAAATCTGTTCAGATATAATTTTTCCCATTCTTTAACTCAATAAAATTACATTTAATGTCAAACTATCCAAAGATGAGTAACTCATTCCTTTTGATTTAATAAAATTGTCATATAATTAAATGTTGCTTATTTCATTGAAAAGAAAATAAATCAATTGGCGAATAAAATTTGAATTTATAGCAGAACGCTCAATATTCGAAAATGATAATTACGTCAGATATGTGAAAAAAGCTCCAAACAGATCCCTTTTGATAGCGACAACACCATCAGACATTCGAGTGTCATTGGTTCGATTGTGTGCGTGAGCACTGCACAATGACGTACTTACACCTTCACATCGACACAGTCACTGTGCAACGGAAGCAACTGAACACGATTTCGCCATTTATGGACGCTCACTATACCAGTACTGTCTTGCACTATTTCCTCTCGCATAAAATTGAGTGGCAAAATCTTCGAGAAGAAAATTTCATTTGCAAATTGCAATTGGCGCTGAAGAAAGAAAAAAACCAGACAAGTGTTGAAGAAAACAGCAAACATATCGCAGCTGATTTTTTTTGGATAAAAAACTCGAAAAAGGTGAGCATACATTTGAAAAATAGAAAGTCTTTGATTTTTGTAGCCAACTGTTCGGACGATGTATTTCCAATATTTCCTGGATATTTTCAAAGTTCTTGCATCACCTTCTTCGGAATCTCTTCTTAAGAATCATTAAATATTTCATAATCAGCCTTTTTTTGAACATTCCGTCATGTCAATATTTGAAAAATTCGACAAGCTGAATTGAAAGATCTGTAATTTTTTGTATCTACTAGCGTTGTTGTTCTTCCAACATAATCAAATGATGAATTTTTCATTGATTTTTATTGTGTTTTCTTACAGAAAATGGCTGGTCGAAAAAGAAAATCGAGAGTGAAACGTCACCAAGGAAAAACCAATGGAGCAAAGCGTCCACGAATGAATGAAGGTTTGAAGCTCACCGACGTTATGAACGATTGTCTGGAGGGAATTTTTCTGCATTTGAACCTAGTCGATTTCATCAGAATCGCTCATACCAACAAACAACTGAAGCCGGCCGCCGACATGGCTTTCAAGAGCAAATTTGGAAAAATGGAATTCATAATAGACAAAAATTTTCAGAGTGGTTCGAGAGTTGAAAAAACGGACAATGTCATCAGAATCACCGACAAGAAAATCGCATTGCGTTTGTTGCGTTGTTTCGGTCACTTAATCACCGTTCTGACTATAAATCATTCCAGTGACTTTTGCGCCAAATTGATAAGCTACTCTAGTAAATACAGCTTCAAGTCACTGTCTGTCATCCGGATCCATGGTTCTCTCATTCAAAATGGCTTGCTAAAAAATCGATTTGCCAACGTAAAATATGTTGAATTTCACAAATGCCAGTTGGAACTGGACTATTACAAATGGTTTCCATCAATCAGTAGTTTGCATTGCTGTTCGTCTGTTGAAGAAAAGTCGATGGTAAAGCATCTCCCACACTTGCAGCATTTGAAAATTATTGACCGCGGTCGCATTCCAGCAGAAAAGATTTTAGCCTGGCTAGAACAGAATCCACTATTGCGCAGCTTATTCTTGGACGGAATTGTTTTGAGCAAACATTTCTGGGACACATGCCAAACGCTGACACGGTTGGAAAGTCTACAAATTCAGGACTATTTTGGTGCCATCTTCCCAAGCGTTGAAACCGTCGCCAATTCCAGTTCTTTGAAAAAAATGAACATCAGCGATGGAAACTATCAAGATCTACGGGTGATGACTTCGGAAGATAATTTGATAACGTTCAATCATCTCAAAGAAATCACATTGCATTTTGTACATCATGGTTTGCTTGACAAATATCAGTGGTCGAACTTTTTCATAAAGCATCGAACCATCGAAAAAGTCACCTTTGGACGAACGGGTCTCACAAATATAAACGAAAGAATCATGACGGACGTGGCAAAGGAATTACCGTTGTTGAAAGAACTCAACAACTTTAGTGGTTATTTGTCAGTCGACGAAGTTCTTGAATTCATGGCCAAATTCCATTTGACGAGCTTTGGTTTCAAAATGCGTGACGGCTCGGCGGATCTGAAAAAAAGTCTCGGCGCAAATTGGAATGTGATACTTGATTTTGATAATGGATTTCCGGCTATTAAAGTAGTTCGCAAGATTTAATGGTCGATTTTCAATTTCAGTGGTACGAAGCGAGTTTTAGAATTAATCGGAAATTAAGACACAATTTTTTTTATTTTATTTTTAAGTTTATTCTGGTATAAAACTATTCAATAATCATTTTGTTTTCCGTTCAAAAAAGCATGAGTTACAATAGAATTGGAACCTAAGCACTACTATGTAATTTATCGTTTGTTTTGTCTCAATAAAATTACTATTTTCAAGTGCTTCTAGTTTTACTGAAAGACAGTACACAAATATTGATTCAAATAAATCATTTGAGAGAAGAAAAAAACATTAATTTGAATTTGCAGCATAAGTTCAAGGCTTTGGAAGACTTTTTTTTCAATTTTCTGCATCCTGTTACGAACTGTTTATCAAATTAAATTAAACAAAATTACCATAATTTTGAAGTGACATTTTTATCGTCTTGTTGTTTTGCAACTGTTCACTCGTATTTATCTCGTATCGCTTGATACTTACCTATATAATAGCCTTTCTGAAATAGAACATGATATCGCTAGAAGACATTGAGCTGCACTAAATCGATAAATCAAAGAGACAGTCGAAAAAGTCCAAGCGATAAATGAAAGAATGAGTATATGAAAAGGGGAATATCTATGAACGGAAGTCAACATCAATAGTCTTGAATCAAAACAAATTTAATTATTTCTCAGTTTCAATGCAATTTGGAATAAAATGTTTTGGTTGTCAAAATAAGTAATGAAAACGATTTAATATTCAATCTGAAAGAAAATACTATGTTGAAGTCTTGGATATTTTACTAGGCACATGTGTTTGACAATAAAATAAGAAAGACAAATGAATTTGTTTTGTAGCTTCGTTTTATTCTTTGAAAGATTCCACCATTTTTCACAATAATTCTCTTTGAAAAGAAATACTTTTATATTCGATATCTTTACAAAATACATTTCGTCTTAATTAGAACCCGTTCAGTGGTGACATTTTTTTGATCTTTTTTCTGGTGGTTTGAACATATGATCTCTTTTAAATGAAAACAAATACAAGATTTGTACTTACATTTTCTCTAGACACTCTTCAATAGTCAAAAGCTTTTTATTCTGTGACTTCATTTATACAATATTCATTAAGTCGTTTTAAGTGCGATTTTAAAGAAGCTTTTGTGCTGAATAGTCTGGCACAATGAGAGCATCGGAATGATACGGTATGCTTACGCATATGATAGACTAAACTCCCTTTACGTACGGTGTCATATTTGCACAAGTAACATTCAAATAGTTGTCGACTGCAGTTTTTCTCGTGCGCAATCTTTGTCCGTTGCACCGTGAATCCTTGTCGACAAATCGAGCAATGGAATGGGAATTGATTCCCGTGAGTTTTCATGTGCCTTTCCAGATGTTGCTTTTGAATAAATCCTTTCGCACAAATGTTGCATTCAAATGGTTTCTCGCCAGTGTGTATGCGTCTGTGCACAATCAGATTTGCCGGATATTTGGCCACATAATTGCAAAACTCACATTTTGTTTTGGATTTCACGCCTGATGTCGATTCTTTCGGTTGTTCAACGCAATTTGAATTGGTTTCACTCTCCAGCCGTTCTTCGGCAGTGAAAAGCTTTTCAACTTGTTCTTTCGCTTTGTCATTAAGCCGTCTTAGGTGCGATTCTAAATCAGATTTTCTGGCGAATCGTTTTGAACAATGAGAACATCGGAATGGTCTGCCTACGGTATGAATGCACATATGACTGACTAAGCTTGATTTGTGCAATGTAGAATATTTGCACAAGTAACATTCATATCGACGTGGATTGCAGTTTTTCTCGTGCGTCTCCTTTGTCCGTTTCGCCGTGAATCCTTGTCGACAAATCGAGCACTGGAACGGGAACTGTTTTGCGTGAGTTCTCATGTGTTTCTTTAGAGTATTCTTTTCAGCAAATCTCTTCGCACAAATGTTGCATTTAAAAGGCAATTCACCGGTATGAATGCGCATCATGTGCGCTTTCAGATTGTCTTTTCGAGTAAATCCTTTCGCACAAATGTTGCATTCAAATGGTTTCTCGCTAGTGTGGATGCTTCTATGTCTTATCAGCTTTGATGCACTCGGAGCTACATAATTACAAAACTCACAATTTGTTTTGGATTTCCCATTTGATGCCGATCCATTCTGTTGTTCAGCACCATTTGAATTGCTTTCACTCCGTTCACCCGATTGAATATCCACGTTGTTTGACTGCTGCAACCTCTCTGCATCATCAAATGTCAGATCAATCAATGGCGATTCTGTGTGAAAATAACATAGATGTTGATTAAATAAACTGACATTTCTACAAGTATTTCGATTGAAAATCTCACCTGAAATCGATTCTCGAATGGTTTTCAGTGTCGAACGTGTTGCAATCTTCCGTTTCTTCTTTGAATTGCCATTCGATGTCGATGCGTCTGCAATTTTTCTCTTTCGACGTTGATTCGTTGTCTTTTTTTGTGCGGTATTTTGGTTGATTTGATTGCCAATGTTTTCCAGAGATGCTGCGGCAGTTTCATGAGTCAAATCGTCAACAATAGTACCGTTCTCTATATCAATGTGAATGGCTTCGGCTTCTAGAGCATCAATTTCGTTGACTTGATCTAATTCACTTATATCTCGACCTGCTTCATTTGTTCCGATCATTTCATTCGTTGTTCCATCGCTGATTTTGCCATTTCCAATATTTTCTTCGTTCTGGTCACTTTCTGTCGTATCACTTGGCAATAACTGTGGCTCATCCATGGCATTGTTCTCATATTGATGATCGGTGACTTCATTTATCTCTTCACGTACCACTGCTGTAATAGGCTCAGTCGCTGGTTCATTCGTTGTCACTTCCTGGGCTTCGTTTCCATCCATTTCACTGTCGATGTTTTCTGATGGTTCCACGGTATTTTCAGAAATCAAATCGATGCGTTCGTCAATGGTCATACCATTCGGCAGATCGAAGTGAATCGGTTCGTCTTCTTGAACATCAACTGTGTTGACTTCGGTTAATTCACCGATGACTGGACTAGTCTCGTCTGTCGTCATTGAATCGCTCGTTGTTCCTTTGTTCGATGCGTCATTTCCAGTGTTGTCTTCACTCACGTCAATTCCGTTCGTTGTGGTTGGCATTGATTCTGTATCATCCATGGCCCCATCCGATTCTGTGCGATTGACGAGTACATTGACCTCTTGGCTTGTCTTTGGATCGTCCGCTGGCTGATTCGATATGATGATTGTCACACAAATAGCGCTTCCATCTCCTCGTCCATTGCCATGTGTTATTTTGTATGTAGATTGAGCAGTGCCAAGCTCCGGCCGATGACAGCTACACGATCCGTTGATCACAATCTCACCGCTTGTATCGGTGGTCGTCTTATCTTTGTCCAAATTATGATTTGACGGAGCATTTCCGCCACGAACTCCAATGAGTTGCTCCTTCAACTTTGTTTTAGTGAGATATAGTTCGTACGCTTTAGTGACCCTGTGGATATCATGAATACAATTGTTTTAGTTAAGTGACCAAATAATAACGTTGACAAACACAATTGAAGCACTCTTAATTTGAGAATAAAGTTTCCTCACCAGTCATTCGTTGCTCGCAAAAAGATTTCCTTGAAATTCTCATCAAATGAAATTGCGCTGCATTGAAATGCTTTCTCCACCAATCCTAGCGATGTCTGCGTTGTACATAAGATGTTAAACCAATAGTTGTCTAGTACCTTTTCCCAATGTTCACCCATTTTTCCTGAAAATACACAAACATTCACGACATTCAATTAAATTTTGCGGCAAAATTGTCATTCCTGAACCAAATCGAATTGAACTCGGAATGAAATAATTCAATTTCTATACAAATCACAAAATATACCGAATTGAGACAATGATCTATTGCCACCGACTTTTTTTCTATTCTTTATAGCACGCATGATGCCAGAGCGTCATTTGTATGCATGTATGTGTGTTAAACAGATGATGCTGTTTGCACATAATGAAAACAACATACCGACCAGACAAAACAAACACACTTTTTTTATCGCTGAGTCTGAATCGCGATTGCTTTGAATACTGCTTCACACACATGCATCCGATTGCGAAAAAACAATATTGCTACACATTCCATTGCAAATCAATTGCTTACCCAATTACACAAATCTGTCGTCCCTTTTTCTTGCTTTCTGTCTGTCTATCTGGCGGATCAATTGCACACGGCAGTACACAGTTTGCACTTTGTATTTCGTTGATATTTATTCCGAATTTCGACGAATGACTATTATGCGATGAAACACAAACTATCCTCTTCAATTTCAATTACAATTCGATGGATTTTTCAGGCAAATGACACAGAAAATATGAAAACATTCACAGAGCGTACACAATTGGTTGTGGTCGATGCACAAAAATACACAGAAATACTGTCTTCTCACGTAAACGTCAAACGATGAACTTGACAGCATTCTACATTCAATGCACCGACGGTGTGGAGAGTACGACTGAATTGAGTACGCGTCACTTTTGAATGTGTACCAATGCGTTGAATTTTTCACAATTTTTTCTTAGTGTTCCAATCAAAGGGGTATCAAAAATATAAATATGCAAATTGGGAGCAATTCAACATTATTTCATGTTCAGAATTTAGTTTGATAAGAATATTCAAAGCAAAAGGTATAAAATAGAAAATACAATCTCATTTATTTCAGTATTTAACAGTACTGTCGCTGACACCTCATTATTGGCCAGCATAGCTTTGCCGCAAAATTCTTTTAATGCCTCTGTTTCTTTGATATAAAAGACTTCTACAACTCAAAAGGACTCAAAGATATCCTGAATAGACATTCTGTTGTTTTTCCAACATTGTATGTCCATTGAACTTTGGAATTTGTGATTGGGAAATCTGAATATTAAGTCCGATCAATTTGATGGACATCGTATTTATGACAGAGTGCAAGATGATTGTTGGCACTGGGATATTGAGGTTCTATTGGTTTCTTAATTGAAAGTAAGCAACGGACATAAATGACCCTTCACTAACCAATAACCATGATACCTTATTATTGAAAAAATAAAAATATTTATGTAAAAATATTGGCTGGTATTCTTTCAAATTATCACAACCGGTTAATTTGGTACGTTTTCGACTATCAACATGATAATTTTTCGAAGAAAATAAGACGATTTTTCACTTAGACGACCAACGTCTCAAAATAGCCGACTGTGATGTGATGATGGGTAAACATCAAAATCATAAATCACATAAAATATCGTGCTCAATAAAGAGAAAGCAATACGAAATATAATTCTCGAAATATAGGTAGATCAATCAGCCTCTGCTCAAATCGAAATAGATTGAAATCTAAAATTGTCATTGGGACGGTCGTTGTCATATTTTTAGAAACTTAACATTTCTCATCTAAATGGATCTCATCTTTTGTTTTTTTGAGAGTGAAAGAGAATATGTAATATTTCAGCAGTAGATAAATCATCGGAGAAAAATTCTGTGAATAAAAAAGGGAAAACATTTCTTAAACAAGTCAATTTTATTTGCATTTTTCATTTATAATTTTTTCATATAAATTTAAAGATATTTTTTACAAAAATTATTCGTTATCTTCATAATAACTCATGCAATCTGATTTTTGACTTATTTATCTTCTCTAAAGTTGACCATTCAGGCTGAATGATTCAGCACTCTTCCACATAGTTGGACCCCTTTTTGCCCATTTCGCAAATTTCACCTGTATCAAAGTCGAAGAAAATATTTGTTAGTATTTAAATATTTTTAAATCATATTGAGAATAAAAATCGGAGATACAGCCCTTGGGAACGTCAAATCTACACTTTTGATCTTATGTCTCTCAAAGACAGTCTTTAGAAACTTACTGATTTGAGATAGATAACTTACTTAACTTAGAAAACTTACTGATTAGAGAGTGTCTTTGGTGCAAGGAAGAGTGTCTTGCTTTGGTGTCTTGTCAAAACTTAAAACTTTATCGAAGAAACTACTCGACTATCTCTCAGCGGTAAGCTGAGACATTAAGACACAACACATATAAATTAGACTATACCCATTTATATTCTCAGCCATAATTTTCCTAATGCTACTGTGAAATTTTTCAATTAAATAACACCCCAACTGACATACTGCTACCGCTTTATTTACTTTTGCTCGATGTGCCATTATCCTTGGTATCAGCCCATAATCAAAGTGGAATAGTTAAGACAAGTCGCCGCAAAATCAACCCAACACACGATGGATTTTATTTATCAATTGTTTGTACAAAAATTCCTGAAATTAAGAAAAAAATTCGGTATACGAATATAAATAAAATAATATTTCAGAAGAAAAGTAATATAATAAATTGAAATTTTATTTAGATTATGACAAAAGTCCCAAAAATTCAAAAGCCGCCCGTGGTCGCCCAAACGTCGGAGAATCGTTTAAGATAAATTGATATATTTCAATATTTTTTCATATACATACTCAAATAAATCAATTTATCACAAAAAACTCCCTCTTCTCCATCCCCGCATAAAGTTCCGTTGAAATGTCCAAATCAAGTAAAATCACAGTTTTATAAGATGTCTAATTAAAATTGTACCGAAAATATTTTAACTACTTTTTTGCGCTATGGTAGACGGCATAAAATCCGTTATCGTAAATTCTATATCATACATTTAAGTGTGATGAATTCATAAAAATTCCCGTGCCAAGAAATCCAATGGAAAATTCTCCTATTTTACACAAAAATCATTTTTACAGAAAAAAATCTACCAAAAGAGATCACACTGCATGAAATCATGTCAACAATATTTCAAAAAAAAGAAGAAAAGAGAGAATTCTACGACTCACCTTGCATAAATGAAAATGATGATCTAACCTCAAAAATATGATGAACATCAATTGTACAAGTCATTATAACGGCTACTTCGTCCGAAATTCCGATTAAATCGCCGATTTTATCCAGTTTTTTTCACGCGATGTTGATGGAATCGCTGTGGTAACTGATCCTTGATAAATTTTTAGAAATAGCTGCCGATCCTAAATCTGTGGACAGAAACAGCACAATGGTGAAAAAAAACTGTAACGTGCACACTCTTACTGTATCTCAATTGGGTCACAACAAATTGGCACAGAAAAATGATGATTTCTATGAAAAAAACACTCACGTTCCGGTGGAAAGTCGCTTTTTTTCCGAAAAAATAGTCAGTTCGGTGAGATAGGTAAAAATAGCTATTCACGGAAAAAATCTCAGTTAAATAGAAAAAACAATGTTCTGAACATACCTTCATTTCCATGTTTGATGTGCGTTCGATGTGCGGTGTTCAGCAATTCAACAAGCTGTGAACCGGAACTTTTGCTTCGTTCAACAGTCGACAAAGTACAAACTCTCCACAAATGGATCTCTTCACGTCAAACATAAACGAAAGCAGCATTGCCAAACGACGGCATATACAACTCTATGCTATCAACTGAACTGCTTTACTTTTCAATTGACACACACTATCAAAAGTGGTATATTGAAATGCGAACACCGGCGAATACAAAGGTGCACTGACAAGTGTCAATACTCTTGCATGCTCACAACATCACCTTATGTAGTCGCTGTTCGAAATGTTCCGTCTTTTTCACTCTTTCATTCCGCGCGCATCAATCTGTGTGTATCGGCACCAAATTGATTTGGCCGAGTGTGCGCGATGCATATTTGATATGTCAAATTCATGTTTTGTTATTGTTTACACAGTCTTGCGCTTGTACTGAAAAACATAGGTTATCCGAGCAATTGAATTTTTGGAAAAGTAGTTCTGAAATAAGTTGTGTGAGTGTTGCTTTGGTGTATTTTTGACTGCCAATGAAAAACTCATTATCGCCGTCCATGCAGACCCAATGTCTAATACAAAATTTTCTTTCTCTTTGTCCATTTTGTTCCAGTTGCCAGCAAATCAAAATGAGTGCAAATTGGGGTAAGAAAATGGATGAGATTTTCGATGCTCACAAAAATTCCATTGAAAGTCGTCTATGGCAAATGGTTCGGTGCTTTGAAGTTAATGCTGACATGTCACCATCAAACATAAACTATACAAAGGAACTGTTTGCACTTTTGAATCAACGGTGAGTAAAATCAATGGCACAGCGCGTGCAATTGCTACAAATGTCATTCATTCCCATAGGTTGCAGACGATGTGTCAACATGTTTGTTCGGAAAAAATAGCAAGGTCATCTTTAGTTCCATCTCGATGGGATGACTCTGATGACGACAGTCAATCTGGTGACCTCAATCAAAATGAGTCAATCAACAATGCTCCATTACAGCGGCCATCACTAAGTGACTCCGATTCAATCAGTCAACATTTGGTTGACTTTCCGCTATCTGTGGGTCAAAGTGATTTCCACATGAGATCCAGTGAATACAGCGATCCAAAGGCTGCAATGGGCCCAAGTGGTTCCAAGTCACCAGTCTCTGATCAAGTATCAGAAGGTGGTAAAATTATCGAGAAAATGAAGCCATCCAGTGGCGACAACTTACAACAGATCCAACATGATAGATCTCACCTGGCCGTTCCCGATGAAGAGCAATCAAAATCCGATCAGTCTCCAAATGGAAATAAAAATTCCACAAAGCGACAGTTTGTCGACCAACCAGTTGACAACCAAATGAAGAAACGTCCAAAAACTGAAATCACCCGGCCATCTCACACGATCGCAATTTTGGGCGCAAGTTCCACGTCATCGAAAATGATTCGTGCTTTTTGTTTCTTCTGCGAGGAACCATTGCAAATGGAGTATTCTGCATGGAAAGTTCATTGGTTGAACCATACCGGTGAAAACACATCGAGTTCAAGTGAGCGTTGTGTTCAAGAAGAAAGTGGCCTGAAGGGATTCATGTGCAAAGTCTGCGACCATTTGCAATTGAATAAGGTTGAAGCGATCAAACACTTATGGCAAGAGCATTTTAAATCGCCGCAAGAGATTCACGAGAATTTGTAGCGTGTAACATTGATGCCAAACCTAAACTCGTTGACCGAACCCATTAAAACGGCTTACGAATTTGTTCCGAATACACAACGATATCGTTGTCCAATTTACGCATGTTCAATCGGATGGAAAACGTTTGACAAATTTAAGGCGCACTTAAACCATGACCATCGTGAGGCTAATGGATTTACCTGTTTGCATTGCAAGGAATTTTTCGGACGTAATATCGATCATGCTTCCGTGCATGGAAATATTGTAACCGAATGTGGTGATTGTAAGAATGTGTTTTCGCGAGATTTTGATGTGTTGTTGCATCAGTTATCGCGACATGATGATGATGACGGCATTCACATGTATCGGCGCAACTTTCGTTACTCATCAAATGTGATATCATTACAAGAAATTTGCGTCATTTTCGAATGTGCTTTGTGCAAAAAGCGTTTCGATAGCCAGACCCAAGCCGTTCAACACTATATTAAAGGGCATAGTTCACGCCATATCAGTTTGACATTAATTCGATTGATGAAGGAAGTGAATTATGATTCAACAATTTCCTACTCATTAATTCAAGGTGGGTCATCGTTCGCGCTTCAACAGCACTTTGTGTGCGGACATTGTAAACAAGTACTTTACACAAAGGATGCGATGACTTCACATCACACACATCATCGGTATCAGCAATTGGCCATCAATTTCACACGAATTCATTTGATCGATACAACAGTGACCGACAATTTTTGGGTACCTAAGGTTTCATTCGATCAGTATCTATTTTACTATTGCGAACACTGTGAACCCGATTTTAAAAACAGCAAGGTTTATGGTCATGTTGATGATGTTTATGACCATTGGCGATCAACGCATGGAAATGGTTCGAAATCATTCCGGTTTTTGGTCGCTCAATTGGCACAATGTTACTACTGTAAATTTATTAGTACATTTCAAGGGCTACAGAAACACCAAAACATACACCACCGGCAATGTTCATTTGCTATCCTTCATCTCATCGATCCATTGAAGTGTGGTCTTTGTGCGTCGACCATCGAACCCGGTAAAGATTTCGTCAAACATTTCCAGACCGCGCATGAGCTCGTGCTGAAAAGCAACGTCTTCAATCCAATTGCAATGGATAATGGTGCTTTGAAGGAATTGATTAAGATCAAAGGGAACCAAAAACACAAGTGTACACGATGCAACAAAATTTTTGATACCAAAACGGCATTCTTGGATCATGTGAACAGGCACAGCACACACAACCAATCTGATCAATTCTATGACAATGAGAGCGTTCACATGATGGCCGGATGTTGCGACACCGTAATGAAACCCTTTGATTTCAGTCATTTCAAAGAGCATTACTACCGATCAAAACGACACCAGAAGCAGGACAGAGGTGTGAAAAAAGAACGCGACGCAATTATGATGGACTATTTTCAAACTAAAGTCGTCTTTGGCAATGGAATGGTTCTCAACAAACACTGTTTGCTGGGCACCGATTTGGACGATAGACAAGATTTTGAGAATTATATCGATCAATTGATACAAACATATGAATGATGAAACGTAGTTCCAGAGAACAAATGAAGTATAGCCAAGGAAATTACACCCGAATATTATTTTATTCAAATAGAGCTAAAAAAAATTAAATTATTTTGACCATTTTTCGGATTTATTCGCTTTAAAAAAATGTTAACAACCTGAGTTCAATTGAATTCAATTTTATTTACAATGAAATCACCTAATAAAGTCGATGATTAGAAATTAAAGAAGGTCTTATTCTGAACATGTAAAACATGTTTTTTAAAAAAACAGCCAAAAATCAGAAAAAGAAAGCTCCAAAGGGTATGCTTAAAAGCATGAAAATGCCCAAGTTGTCATTGAGATCAAGTTCTCTCCAATTGTCATGAGGAAAATGTCATCGCGTCACCAATACACTGTGACAATCAGCCTTATTCAATTTCCGGCTGTCTGGAGAAAACACATGCTGTCTACGAGTGAAACATATTGCCAAGTAATATTCATTTAATTTTCTTACGGTT